AGGGATGCGCCGATGTATCGGCTGAAACATGGCTCTTTCGGCATTATGTCCAAAAGTGCCATTTTATTATTTGATCCCCTGTATATTTTGCAAGTTTGCCCACTTACAAAGAAATTAAAGGTCTATAATTTTTATCATAGGTGTATTTTAAGTGATAGGGACAGAATATCAACCAAAAATCCAGAAAAAAAACACATGATACATATGTTGTAAATTGAGTTGCAGTTCAGTGAGTAAAATAAGTATTTGATCCCTAATCAAAACATGACTTAGTACTTGGTGGAGAAACCCTTGTTGGCAAGCATAGCGGTAAGACGTTTCTTGTAGTTGGTTACCAGGTTTGCACACATCTCAGGAGGGATTTTGGTCCAATCATTTTTTACAGATCTTCTCTAAATCCTTAAGGTTTCTTGGCTGTCGCTTGGCAGCTCGAAGTTTCAGCTCCCTCCATAAATTTTCTATAGGATTAAGGTCTGGAGACTGGCTAGGCCACTCCATGACCTTAATGTGCTTCTTCTTGAGCCACTGCTTTGTTGCCTTGGCGGTATGTTTTGGGTCATTGTAATGCTGAAAGACCGATCCACGGCCCATCTTCAGTGTTCTGGCTGAGGGAAGGAGGTTCTCTTCCAAGACTTTACAATACATGGTCCCTCAATGTGGCAAAGTCGGCCTGTATGTTTAGCAGAGAAACAGCTCCAAAGCATAATGTTTCCCCCTCCGTGCTTGACTGTAGGGATGGTGTTCTTAAAGTCATGGTCAGTATTTTCCTTCCTCCAAACACTGCGAGTCATGTTCATGTCAAAGAGCTAAATTTTTGTCTCATCTGACCGCAGCACTTTCTCCCAATCCTTCTCTTAATCATTTCATTGATCAAATCAATCCGTTTATTGGCAAACTTCAGATGGGCCTGTACATGTCCCTTCTTGAGGAGGGGGACCTTGTGGACGCTGCAGGATCTCAATCCATGGTGAGTGCTACTCCCCATTCAGAAATTCATGAATGAACAGGCTGTGATGTAAATCACAGCCTGTTCATTCATAACTGAGGAATTCCCCAAGTGGCTCCGTTGGCTAACGCAGGGAAGGGGGGAAGAGTCCGGTGACGTCGATGTCGGTGACTGCTAACGAAGGGAAGGGGGAGGAGCCCGGGGACGTTGATGTCTGTGACGTCACCGGACTCCTCCCCCACTCTCTCTCTATATTATATATAACCCATTTATATTGCAATATATATATTATATATATACATACATACATATATATACATACACACATACATACATACATACACATATATATTGGCAGGTCCGCCACTGGTGCCACGTGATTTTCACAGATGAGCAGGTTCACCCTGAGCACATGTGACAGACGTGAAAGGGTCTGGAGAAGCCGTGGAGAACTTTATGCTGCCTGTTACATCGTTCAGCATGACCGGTTCAGGGGTTGGGTCAGTGATGGTCTAGGGAGGCAAATCCATGGGGGGGATGCACAGACCTCTACAGGCTAGATAACGGCACCCTGACTGCCATTAGGTATCGGGATGAAATCCTTGGACCCATTGTCAGACCCTACTCTGGTGCAGTGGGAAATTATATAATTGAATGGCCCCCATGCTCGACTCACCTGAATCCAATAGAACGCCTCTGGGACATTATGTCTCGGTCCATCCAACGCCGCCAAGTTGCACCTCAGTCTGTTCAGGAGCTCAGTGATGCCCTGGATGCCCTGAAGTTGTTAGGCATCCATACAAGCACGTGGGGGCCATACAAATGAATGAAAACAGATCAAAGAAGCGCTACTGCCCTTTAAGTATACATATAAATAACCATGTATGTTGTGGTGTTCATGCATAGCAACATTAGCATGAGGCTAGATAGACAATTGAACGATTAAATGATTGAACAAATGGATAAAATGACTCACTGTTGTATGAGATTAATGGATGACTCAATGGTGACTGATGAGGAGTAATGTTTCTCTGCCGAAAGGGTGCCTATCCGGAATCCCGGGTCACAGGGAAAGGAAAAGGCTGTGAGCTATATTTTGGCCGGTTGCCTCCATCAGGGGCATATATATCAAAAGGATGACTCTGTGAAGAGTCACAAGCAAAGGGTGTCTCTGTGCAGAGTCACAAGGTCCCAGCTGGCCAGGCTGAGCCTTAGTGGCTGCGTGAAGGTGCGGCGAGGAGACCGCTCCGCTGCTGTCTGATTCGCTGTGTCTCGCTGGCAGTGAGCAGTAGGATCGATACACAGTGTGATGTCAGTGGAGGGCTGGGCGGAAGCTATCCAATGGCTACGCGTTTCGAGGCCGACATGTAGCTGTGTATGTGTTGGAGGCACATGGAGGCAGAGGAGTCGTCGCAGCAGAGGTGTGGAAAGCTGCTAAAGGGTAAAGCGTAATTCTGAGTTTTGCTGAGGAAAACCCTAAAAGTCCTGGGACTAGGACACAGAGTATTGTCCACTTGTATAGGAGCAGCTGTCACTGACGTTGCCGGTCCCCAGATCCGCTGTGCCCAGTGTGGCCCGGGACGGCACAGCTGCTCTGTGACAGGAGATCAAAGGGAGATCCCTCTGAACTCCTCTCTGTCCACGAATGCAGGAAGTGATGTATATTACATCACTCCTGCATTCTGCTGTCACTCTCCAGCTTCAGAAGCTGGGGAGAAGCTGGTGAAGCAGATCTCTGCTTCACCAGCTTCTCTGGGGGTCCCTAGGTGACATGGAGACCCCTGATGTCTCCATAAAGAGGACCTGTCGCATTAAATTGTCTATCACATAGGGGGCTTGTCAGTCCCCCATGTTATAGCAATAGAGTTAAGTGTGGGAAAAAAAAGGAGTAAGAAAAAAAAAAAAATGTTTTAAAGTCCCCCGCCCCCCACATACACATGCGTCGGATGCGCTTACATGCGAAAACGACAATTACGACCATTGTGTTGCACATGTTACATATCACCGCAAAGGTCGGACTGTGAGCAATAATTTTAGGGCCATCAATCACTGATAACACTATCAGTGCAGTAAACGCATTTAAAGCTTCGCCTTCGCCTACGATTTTGCGGGAGCGCGCAATTTTAAGGCTTGAATTGTGTGGTATTTACCCGACGTGACCAGGTCTTTATATTTTACCAAAAATATGGGTAAGAATAAATGTTTAACATAACGTATGGGAAAACATTTTTTTTTTTAAATATACGGTACTTTTTTCATTATAGAGTAAAAAATAAAAACCCCAGTGGTGATTATATACCTCCAAAAGAAAGCTCTATGTGTCCCTAAAAAATGTTAATATAAATTGCAATGCTATAGTCCGGTCATGCTGACTGGTAAAATGTTTGACTGACTGGTGAGACACACACAGTATACATATAAACACATATGTCTATGTATCTCCAGTCCACCAATAAGAGGAGGGTATCCGGGGGGGGCAGCACTCAACGCACAATGTTCTACACATGCGTTTATTTGTATGCAAATGGCGGGGGCAGTGGGGTTGGTTTTAATTTTGTTATTATATTTTTTACTTTTTAATTTTTATATATTATTTTTTAATTTTTAATTTTTTCCACTTAATTTATTCCTATCACATAGGGGTTGACAAGCCCCTATGTGATAATTTGGAGGTGACCGGTTCTCTTTATGGAACCTGCCCTCCAACACAGAACAGGTGTTCTGTGCAGTTCCTGACAGCCGAGACAGAAGGCGCTGTGATTTCAGAGCCACGGTCTCACTGATCACACAGAGTAGACGAAGAATGGACGTTCTTCGTCTGCTCTGCAGGCTCTATTGCTGAGCCATTGTGCCGTGGTCTCGGGTCCCCCAGAAAAGTGGGGGGACCCCAAAAACCAGGGCGGGGGGGGAACACACACGATCGCCGCTGCTAGTTTGATATAAGTGATCTGATCAGATCACTTGTACTAAATGAGCGGCGGCTCCCTGCTGTACATTTAGCTCTGCTTGTCCGAAGCAGGGCTAAATGTACAAAAAGACTACTCGCCCGGCGCGAAACTGCATGTCCCGGGCGTCGTGCGATAGGTATTTCACACCCCTGCCTAGGAACCAGGAAGACAGCAAGCTTCTGATAGAAAGAGTGGGGAAAGAGACAGACTGCAACAGAAAAAATGCACAGGACTTGAGATATCAAGCCGCTATATATGGTGTGTCTGCCTCTGATTTCAGCCCGAGATCCAAGTACTCTTTACTTGGCATGTTGACATCGCCCAGGGCTCCCAGTCAGGTAAGCTGTTTTTAAATGTAAGTGCATTAGCATGGTTTTTTTTATTTAACTAAAACCCTACATTATGCTGGGCTTTTTTTTCTTTGAACTATTTATATATACATGGACTGGCTGTGTCTGAAGGCTTTTGTTATCTAAATCATTTGTAAATTTTAAGTTCACGTGGATTTCAAAATGATTCCCATCTCTTAAAGCAATTCTTTGATTTAGCTCTTAGACTGAGCAATGCATCTCCGACAGTCACCACTTTTTAGCACTGGATCCCATCACAGCTGCTGAAAGCAGGCACCCTTTCAAATGGATGCTGTGACACACCAAGTCAACTGCAATTCCCCTATCTAACCAGCATGATTCAATGGCCAATAAAATGTACCCAGTCCTGATAGTGGAGTGGCAGTTTGTGGGGCTTAGTCAGACCCCTGGAACAAAGTAATACTAGCTTTGGAGAGACAAATTAAATAAATATTAATGTTTAGCAGATGAAATAACAGCCATATTATGGTATCTCTACCATCAAGCAACAGCTAGCTGTACACCCTAACTGAATACACTTTGTTTGCTAGAGCACTGCATATCAATATCCATGCTTATTTTGTAAATAAATACTTTTCATATTTTTTAATCTTTTGTTGCATCTCCTGCAGCATTGGATTACTCTTAAAAATAATAGGCACTTAAACTGTGTCTCACTTTTAGAAAAATAATTCACTCAGAGCAAGGGTCATAATTAATTTCATTTGGCATGCTGTAATGGACGATTGCACTTACTGCTTCAGAGTTATCGATAAAGGGATCAGTCTCATCATAGCCATAGCCAATGTCTATAAGATCCTGCATACGGTCTTTTCGATGGCGATGACTTTTTCCTCCCTGTGATAAATAAAAAACAAAGTGAGAAGTATTAAGTATAGAGTAGTAAATAAATCAGGGTTCGCTTTTTAGGATATTTTATTTTCAAAAACACAACACTTGTTATATTGTGGTGAAGTGTGTAACACATTTACAGTTTTTGTTTTACTGCTAGAGTGTGGAATTACTTTTAAAACCTTACATGATCAAGTTCACACAAAAAAAAAAACAATCCATGCTATATTTTTTCTGAAAGCAGAAGACCAATAGGATTAGAGATTTTGTATGTCTTAAAATACTTTCGCAAATATGATCAAAATGTAATGAATGCTGAAATGTAATCTGCTTATATTTTCCAGTCCCTTTCTCACCTCATTAACACAGGAATTAAAGGAGAACTATGGGGTTAAGGCTTTTCCCCACAGTTCTCCTTAAGGTAACGGGAGGACAAAAAAAAGTTTTTCATTACATACCTTTTCTTAGACCTCACAGTCTCTATGTAGATCATGACTGGTCAAAGGGACCAGCAGGGTGCTGCATATAGCTTTCTAAAAACATACCAGTATCATGCTTCAGTACTCCCCTCAAAAGTCCTCAGCCCTGATACAAGTAGTGGGCTAGCTGTGGGGAGGAGTTATGCAATACAGGTGGCCCTCGGTTCACAACGGTTCAATTTGCACTGATACAAAAAAGCACCCTGTTCTGGGGAATGTTGTAAATTGAAACCAAATATATATAATTGTAGGTCAATGGAAAGTGAGGGAGTTAGGTTCTAGGCCTCTCTTAAAACAAGGAATGGTTCTAAATAGAAACTGGTGTAAACAGAAACCCAGTAAATAATTTAGGTCCGTAGAAAGTGAGGAGGTTAGGATTCTCATTGACATAAATTGACATAAGTAACATGATACAGGTACATTTTATTTAAAGCTCCTTGTGTGAACTCATACAGCAGTTTTAAATATAACGTACCTGTATTTTATTACAGATGTCAATTTTGGGAAAGGTCTGGAACATAACTCCCTCGCTTCCTATTGACTTGCATTATATACTGGGTTTCAATTTACACCGGTTTCTATTTACAACAATTCCCCTAGGAACCTAACTCAAGCGTAAACTGAAAGCTACCTGTATTAAGATGCCCTAATGGGTGGATGCAAGTCTGGGGAAGCTGGTATCCCTAGGTATGCTTTATTGCATGTAGACTGGCATGAGTTACGGCCATATGTGATAAGCCTCCATGATGGAAAGAACTGAAATCCAATAAATGAAAGTGATAGACCACAGACATTAAGATAGGATGGAAGACCAAGATGCTTAATGTTCTCCAGCCAGTAAATGAGGCAAGCTCTATTTGACTTACTGCAGCTCCTAATGTACACTGTGAACAGTGTGCAGTGAAATGAAAGTAAGCAGTTTCAGTACAGGACACAAACCTGTACAACTGTGCCAGACTGAAGGCAAGTCTGGAGCTAAACTCTAAAGTGTATCAAAAGCCAAATATTTTTTAGTTTTTGATAAAGTGTGTGTGTGTGTGGGGGGG